CTTTCACTATATTTGATATCGGTATAATTTGTGGAGGAGATGTGGAAAAACAAGTCGTTTAAGGATACAGGTGGACCCGTTGCAACTACGAGAAGTACAAGTTGTCATGTTGAAAACGAACTTTACAACTTTGGTGCGGGGAGGGGGGGTTGGGGGGGGACGCTGGGAATGGATGTGAAGGGTAAACAAAGGAGGAGGCTGCAATGCTTGATAAGAAATGTACTCATTATCTTGCCCATGTAATTGTAATGCCTCTGTACAGTACATTCACAAAAAATAAAAATTATAAATTAAAAAAAAAACCAATATTGCAAAGACGATGTCCAGAGGGGTTAGAGTTTCATACGTAAGGCAATGAGTACATTTATTTTTTAACAGTGTTACCCTTTCATTTTCCCCACTTTCCCTCCCCCACCCCTTCTCCTCCCCAAGTTGTATGGTTCATTTCCAAGATAGAGTCTAGTGAGCATCACTGTTAACTGGTTCAGCCTTTGTCCCAACATTTCTGTGATTCCCTTTCCCTTCCAAAGTCAGATAAACTTATATACAAGAAAAAGAGTACAGATATCAAAAACACTGACATCAGGGAATAAACCAAATCAGAAAAAGAGAGAAAAAAGAAATAACTGCCAACAGTTCAATAAAAACAAATTTGTTTACATTTCTTGGAGTATATATATACACAATAGAGTTCTATTCTTCCATCAGAAAGAATGGCATTGCCCATTCATAAAGAAATGGAAAGAATTGGAAAATATTACATTAATTGAAGTAAGCCTGACACAAAGAAACATAGGCTGCATAGTTTCCCTCAGTAGTAATAACAAGAATATGTCTATAAATGTACAAGTTAATCAATTGGATAGTAAAAGGTAAATAATTACATCTGGACATGATTAATTAAACAGAACTTTTAATGTTTGCACACTGAAAATAAAGCAGGATGTTCTTAGGAGAGGTTCAATAGGAGAGGTTCTTAGCAGAGGATCAATAGCTATGTATTCATGACCACATAAAATGTTTATAAAATAAAATAAAATGCTTATCAAAAAGTTATCTTCTAACTCTAAACCTGGACTATGTGTCCTCAACTTTTTCTGCCATTAGTTCCGTAAATTTGTGGCTCATATATTCTACCAGTGTCATGCTTGGAGATCATAAAGGCCTAGCTTATATTTTAGAGTCATTATTTACTCTGTGTGTGTTAACAAAAAAGTTATAATAATCCTCCAATTCCCAGGATGAAGGAGATACATAAAGCAGATATAGCAACCTACTCTGTAAGATTGATGTTGGTAAGAAAGAATTAAGTGTAAGATATATAGTATGGGAGCTGTAAAATATGAATGCTCAGTAAACATTGTATTTTTAATTTTGACATATGAATAAAATACAGGAATAAATTAATTCTAACAGAAAAAATAGGCTGTTATAATAACTGAAAAGCTTTTGATAAGTACTTTTGAATTCACATATATAAATGTTACTTTAAATATGTATTCTCTTCCATATATGTCTATAATAAACAAATGTATTCTCCTTTACATGTTTTCACGATTAAGGAAAGCTTTAGATTTCAATTTTTTTTTTTTTTTGGTCAGTCATGGGGCTTGAACTCAACCTGAGCGCTATCCCTCAGCTCTTCAGCTCAAGGCAAGCTTTCTACCACTTAAGCCACAGTACCACTTCCAGTTTTCTGGTGGTTTATTGGAGATAAGAGTCTTACAGACTTTCCTATCCGGGCTGGTTTTGAACCATGATCCTCAGATCTCAGCCTCCTGAGTAGCTAGTATTACAGGTGTGAGCCACTGGTGCCTGGCTAAGCTTTGGATTTCAAATCACAAAAATATTGATAGTAATAATAGTTAAATATGGCATTTACATGTGAAAATATAAATATTTATCCACACATGAGGGTCAAGATTAAGAGTTATATATTTATAAGATGATTTCTTTGTTGCTTTGCATATCTCCCCCCACGGTATAAACCCTGCTTTCATTGTATTTGATGTTGGTAAAATTTAAATGGTTTATAACCGTTTAAATAGGGGTACAGGTGGACCTATTGCAACAATGAGATGTACAAGACATTATGTCAAAAACGAACGTTACAACTTTGATGGGGCGGGGTGGGGGGAGGGGGAGATGGGCAGGGACGGGAAGGGGAAACAAAGGAGGAGGGTACAATGCTTGATAAGAAATGTACTCATTATCTTGCTCATGTAATTGTAACCCCTCTGTACAGTATTTTCACAATAAAATTTTGTAAAAGATTAAGAGTTATTAAAAGAAGATGTTAAGCAAAATTTTCTATCATTTCTTAAGGGTCCAGTGAGATACATAAATGATTTTATGACCACCAAAATATTCTCTATAGAGTTGACCTTTACAAAGAGATTCAGTGACAAATGGTGTCATTGGAGATAAAACTTGGGTTGTTCCTTTCACAATTTTAATTTCTGATGTCCCCTCTAATAAGTCTCATAATGTATCCATCAACATCTATTTGTTTGGCAGGCACTGTCACAGGTAACACTCCTTCTGAGGGTTTTCTTCATTATCTTGACTTTGACCACCATCGGATTTATTCTGGATCAAAGGTAAGAACTGAAGTTCTTTGGTTCATTTTCTATTTCATTCAACCTAAGAGAGTTCTACATAGCAGTGAAAATTAGCATGTTATGTATTAAATAAACATAGATCTGGAGCCATGTTATACTTTTCACTACTGTAGACTAGGGAATATATCAGCTGTCTTAATGAATGATGTTTATGAATAAAGAAAAAGGCATTGGATTTATGAGGAAGATCTCACTTTAAATTTTGGAAATTTATTGCTTGGCATTTTATGTGTTAGCTGAAAATAAGCTTTATTCAAACTCACCAAGGTTTATTTAACAAATAAGTTGGTAAAGAATTGGTTTTCTTTAAAGGGATGCAATTTTATTTTTGTTGTGGTTTAATGACTTCAAATAGCCTCAGAAGAACGTTTTTCAAATATGTTAAAATATGCATTTCCGAAAAGTTTATCTTTACTAATTGTAGCCAATTCTGCAATATATATAAAGCTAATGTAGGTTACTATTGTGTGATTTCAGACCCAAGGCCGCCATTATGGAAACCCTCCGCTGTTTAGTGTTCCTCACATTGTACAGATATGGTCACCTAAAGCCTTTTGTTCCTTCTTTGTCATTTGTGTTTGAGGTAAGACTCTATATGAGTTCACTCATGCAGTGATATTATCTATTTTATCTATTTAATATTTACTTAGTACTAGTTGGAAACTTTTACCTATTTAATTTACTTACCAGTATTTGTATCACTTTGACCTAGTTAATACTGCAGAGCCACAGTTTTATTTACCCCAAATTTGGATTGGTATCAGTCTATTCACAGAGTTGTTGAACAAATTATATTGCATAACATTCCTTAAGAAATTATGCTGCACAATAATTCTTCAGGAAGTAGATAATTGACAATATTTGGCAAGAATTATGCCGTTTCAGATTTTGTTAAAGCTTCTGAAGTAAAAATTATTTTAATGCTTTGACAAAAACTCACCAAAAGTACTAATTTTAAGTACATCAAATAATTGAGTCTAAAACACAACTAAAATATATCAAGTGATATGACCTTTGGGAATGAGTAAGAGTTAACGTCCCAAATACATTCAATATTGAATATATATTTCAGATCTTAGGTAACTGTAAAAAGTCTTTATTATAATCATTTGTATTTTATAGGATGTTTTTAATTTATTTATATCGTTAAAATTTGGTATGAAACACCTACCACTATGTCTAGAACGTAAAAATCAAATTATATTCAAGCATAAGGCAATGTTAATATTCTCTAAGAATCAATAAAAGAACTAATATTGAAACATTTCACAATGATTTTAAGCTAAGGAACTTATCACAAAGCATTTTGATGATATCTGTTTAAAACACATATCCTTGACTTTAGCATCCTACTCCTAAGAATTAAAACAGAAATGATTTCCTATAATTTATGACTTGGTATATAATCAATATTATTCCTTTTTTCATATACACATATATATTTCTGCACTGAATATTGCAGTTTTTATGTCACCAGAATGTCATGCTTTCCTTGCCAGCTGATCAAATAATAGATATTTATTTATCAACACAGAACTGAGGTAAATAGTGTGGAGAAGCAAAACAAAAACAAAAAACAGAGGCACTTAAGAAGTCAACAAGTTGTCAGATTGGTTCAGTATTATTCCTTGTACCATTATTTGTAGTACCTTAACACAGAACTATATAATAGTCATTAAAAGGTGTCTACCTCAAAATTATGTTTCATTAACAAAATAAAATATTTACTTATAAAGTGTATTATATATAAAATAAAACATGATGTAGATGCTGTGCAGAGCATGCTATATAAAATTAATGTAAATATAAAATATTGGAGGAAAATATATTGTTTATATATGTATAAATGCATTTTATTATAACTATATAATATATATAGAAATACAAATAAGAACCTAACACATAATTTTCTGTGGCAAATAAACGTAAATTAAAAAAAAGGAAGAGGAGGATAATCCATCATTAAGTGAAGGATTAAAGTTTCTAAACCCTAAAAATATATTTCACACTAAATAGTTTTTATGAGTCTAATAATGAAGCATAAAATCTTAGCATCATGATTTGTATACCATGTAATCTAATACATTTTGCATTTAAGTAGGCATTCAAGTTTACATACTGTGGAAATGCCTTGTGTCTTGAGATTACAACCAAAAAGTAAAAGGGGAAAGCATTGTACATATTTAATTGTACATATTTAATACAATTTAGAAGTATCCAGACCTAAAGAAAACTAAAAATGAAATAATGTAAGTTCTCAAGGAAGGACTATGATTCTATCAATGGGACTTCGAAGGGCATGAATTAACCACTTACTGACACCTATTCATTAAGATGAATACAATAACAGCAAAACACCACAACTGCTCATAATATTCTGCTGTTGGACACACTGAACTGCCCTCTGCCATCCTCTCATTAAAAGAACCCTAAACACAACATATTTGTCTAAGAATATTCCCAAATGTTTAAAACCATAGCTAAGTTACATTTTCGATTTGCTTCTGGAGCAGAAAGGTGAACTAGCACACATACCTAATATCACATTCATTACACGGAGGTATTTTCTTTCATGTCTATAATTAGAATGGGTTCTTTATGCACAGAGAACTTACTTGGTATGGGTTCTTAACAATTTGGCCTGGATTCTTCTTCTATAAATGGAAGAAATAGTAATAGTTCTATATGAATTTGAGGAACTAATGAGGTAACTCATTTAAGAAATTAAGCTTAATGACTACCATATAGTAAGTGCTTACTAAGTGTGTAAGATGCTATTATTATTGTGGTTGTTGCTGTTAGTGTTTTAGCATAAAACGATGAAAAGTAATGATATTAAAGAAAGTCATAGTTATGAATTCTTAGTATTGCACTTTATGAGATCTGACTATGTACTCTGCTTATTTAGTTATAAAAATAGGTAAAGTAAGAGTTGACATGCTTCTATTGAGCTCCTTTCATGTTCTTATATCTCATTTGCATTTTTCTATCTCATCATCATGCCAAATCCATCTTGTGTATTCATTACAAGAAAACTAAGGGCTATAAACAACGTTTGAATGAGAATAGCTATTAAGGGAACAAGTTAGAATTAAAAATCACACACTGTAATTATGAATCACCCACTAATATTTTCTTCTGTGTGTGGACAGCAATACTGAACTACCTCAAAGGCTGCAGATGAGAAGTGAATATATAAAATAGCAGACGTGGATTGAAAAGTTTAAAGCTATAATAAAATGGCTTCCAATTTAATTGCAAAAGGATTTCCTATGTTTGTGGTCATACTAAGGATTGAATCCCAAACCTTGTGCAAGCTAGGCATTTGCTATGATATTATTTTATTTAATTAATTAATTAATTAATTTTTTTTCCAGTCATGGGGCTTGAACTTTGGGCATGGGCGCTTTCCCTCAGCTCTTCAGCTCAAGGCTAGCGCTCTACCACTTGAGCCACAGTGCCACTTCTGGCTTTTTCTGCTTATGTGGTGCTGAGGAAACGAACCCAGGGCCTCATGCATGCAAGGCAAGCACTCTACCACTGAGCTAACTTCCCAGCCCTTGCTATGATTTTAAACGACTTCTCTAGCCCTGAAAATGTGTTTTTGAAATACATATCTAAATTAACCTTGGATAATTCAAAGAAGGGAGGAAATCATGCAAAAGTTTTCATTGTGCTAATTTATTCTTTCCAGAATATATTTCTTCTCATTTTGGTATACACCTGACCAGTTCTTCAAGAGTAGATATTGCCTCATACTTTTCACTAGACTTATATGCTAATAGTAAGGACATCCAATGATGTTGTCATTTGGATGTCATTAATCATGTATTCATGCCTTGGAAATTTAATTCTAATCCTGACAATGTTGAGTATTTAATCCTAATAGGAATCTATTGTGACCATGTCCTTGGAACAGACTAAAGTAATTTTTGTGGAACTCCTGATTTAACTCTTGTGAGAGGCTTTAATGCAAGAGTATTCCTGATCTCCTCCCCAATTTATTTGGTTTTCTGCGTGCTGTGTGATCTCTTCCCCTTATACATGCTCTTTCCATTGCGCTGTCTCTTGTTGGGAGGTCCTCAACAGAGCTGAGCTTGAACTGACATTAAGCACTTGAAGCTCCAAAACTGTTAGCAAAATTAATCTTTGTAAATAAGTTTACCCAAACCCAGATATTTCATTAGCAAAAGTATCTGATATATAAGTTTGTTGGAAAAAAGCAATGACAGAAAGAGAGAACATAGGAAACACTATAGTTCCTAAATTCTAGTTACCATTGCTCATGACTCTATTGCTAATCTATTGTTATTCAAATGAAACCATGGAATTCCCAATGGTTTATATGAGTAAGTTTTCTGTATCCAGAGTTCATCAAGTGGATGGATGAGCAAAGCTTAGGCACGTAGCTTATTATCAACATTTTTACTGATGAAGTAACTTCTCTTCCCTTCTTCTTTTAGAGTTCTGTGTTTAAAATATCACCTCATAACCAATTCTTTGATAAAATAATTACACATTTCCAATTTGTTTTCTTTGTCTTTCTATTTCTTGGAATTTTTATAAAAATCTTTTCCATCTATCATAGTTTTAATAAAACTTATTTTCCACATACAAATAGCTACTTAAAGCATGGCCTCAGTACTCCATTCACTGCATTATGGTCCACTGACCCAGGGATGATCAGGCTTGTACAAGGACACAATGTTCTCTTCCCTGTCCTTTGAGGCTACCAATGTACTCAGTATCCATGAAGTACGTAACATCCTTTCTCTTATGAAATCAACATTGTACATATTAGTAACAGCAACTTGCAGTCCCGTAACTTCTCTATGTATCTAGGGGGCTCATCGGCAGTTTTGTATTATATTGTTTTATTCTGTTAGGCAAACTCCAATCTCCATAGATCTACATGGAACTATGAATACTACAAATATAAGATATAAGTGCCAAATTTTAAAATATAAATAAATATTAAAATATAAATACTAAAATAGTTTTAATTTCTCTCTTTCTCTGTCTCTTGTCTTCTATATATATTCCTCTCTCTGTGTCTCAGTCTTAAAGTACTTTTCACTTCTGTTACAAACCTGCTTTGAAGTAGTCACTATTATGGGTTGAAAATATAAATTACAATTTGGATCGATCCTGTGATCTGCATGTGGAAAATTTATTCCTGTTAGCTGTCACTCAGAATACTGAGTAAGATAGGGAAGTGTTTCTGTTGACAAATACAATACACTTCGTTCCAAATTCCCAGCTGCCCATGTAATCTGTGACATGCTCAGCTGGTGCCTCTGTGCATTTCCCTTTAGACCGAGCCAACAAATACATTCACCACCACCTTACACATGTCTGCTAAAATCTGGTTTCTTCTACCAAATTTAAAAGAGGAATATCTTCATTCTTTCTTTCATTTCTTTGATTCACTTATTTTTGTGTTTGCTTACTCTCATGTGATTTGTTCTTCCTAAAGATGCACTTGTGAACTTGTGACTGATTTTATTATCTTATATAAGCAGCTTTATAAGTGTTTAACCTGAGAAATACTAATAAAAAAAGAAAGAAAGGTTCAAATGGAAT